CCTAGGTGGTTAAGTCCAGTCAAAGGCATCTATGGAGTTGCGGCACTCATCTTGCTTTCAGGCTGAGGGAGCCACCGTTTGTCCACAGACAGCTTTTTGGGTCATGTGGCCAGCAGGACTAAACTGCTTCTGGTGCAACGGGACACCGTGACGGAAACCAGAGCGCATGGAAACGCCGTTTACCTTCCTGTCACAGCAGTACCTATTTATCTACTTGTACTGGTGTGCTTTTGAACTGCTAGGTTGGCAGAAGCTGGGACAGAGCAACGGGAGCTCACTCCATCGTGGGGATTTGAACTGCTGACCTTCTGATCCGCAAGCCCTAGGCTCTGTGGTTTAGACCACAGCGCCACCCACGTCCCCTTCTACCTATAGTATGAAGTGGTGACCCAGCAAAACCACAGTAAGAACTAGGCCTAAGCTGAACCTTTCTCCCCAGCCTGCATTCCACAAAACCTCTCTGGAGACGCACTATAACCATGTGATGCTGCCTGAAAAGGGATTTCACTGCTTGAATTCAACCATGCAGCCTGATTCTATTGACCATGTGTAGCCCCCCTGTGCCCTGGTCTCTGGGCAAATCAAGTCTCACACTAAAAAGAGATGCAAAGGGGCATGAGGGCAGTTGTGATCCTGGTGGCCTATTTGAAAATGATTGGGGTGCTGTAGCTCACTTGATAATGGAAAGCACTTTTATATTCCATTTTTATTTTTAAAACTCTGATGGTTTGCCATAGTGAAACTCCTGAAGCAGCTATCCTAGGCGTAGCTTATTTCAAAATAAAGGACTCGAGCAGTTTCTTGCTAGCCTGGTGCATCTTAAGGGGAATTCAGAGACTGTATTTTACCATAACAAACTTCAGACATGGACAAAAGGCACAGAAGGGTGGGGACCATCTCCAGCAGACCATCTACAACCAGGTAAGATTTATTGCAAAGAGCACTGTCCTCTCAGGTCTTCCTGCACCTTAAGCAAGAAAACACACTAAGGAACACTTTAGCACAGATTAGGGAGGCCTTAATTGCTTTTGCTTTGTAAAATTTAAGCACCTGGGTAGACAAGGAGGTTTCCATTTTTAAATTAAATAAAATAAACCTGGCAAGACTGAAATCACACCACCCCTAGAGTAGACCATAAACCTGCTACACTGAAGGCACACCCCTAGGCATATTTACTAGGATGCACGTCCCCTTGGATTCAGTGGGGCTCCCCCTCCCGCGCCCCAAAGAAGTCTGCATAGGATTGCAGCTTTAAACAGGTATTGTCTTTCTTTTCTTTTTCTAAAAAAAAACAGGGATCGAAGTATCTGCGTGAAAACTATTTAAGCCCGTGCTTAAGTTTTCGCTCGTGTCATCCTTGGTGGAGCACGTTCGCGGATGTCAAGTCAGTTGCTAATGAGCTAAACAATTGCGCCTAGCAATTAGCCTCCCGGTAATTAAATCGCGTTTATGGGATTAACGCCCCGCGGTTCGAAACAAAGCCGAGACATGATAGGGAAATGCGTGCGTCCCGAAGCCTCGGCTGGATCCGAATCGCCTCTTGTTTGCTTTGAAATCAGACAAAGGATGCGGACAAGAATGTCAATTTCCCGAGACGCCTCTCCTTTAAATGCTGCGCCGTTTCCAGCGAGGCCAAGCGCCCCTTTCGCCTCCTTCTCCTGCGACCAGATACCAGAGGCGACGGGGGGCAATAAACCGGGAGATCTCTGTTTTGCAGGCTACTTATTACTTCTTCTGGCTGATAAAAACTTCTACTTTCCACTAATTTCACGGCGGGGACCGCGAGGGAGGCTGCGGGGGGAGGGGGCAAGAAATGTCAACACAGAACTTCCCGGGAAGACGCGAAAGTTGATTCAAACGGAAAACGAGGAAGGTGGGATTGTGAGAAAGAAAACGGTTCCGCTGTAGGAGGAAGAGCGATAAGGAAAGGAGAATTACTAGCGGCTGCTTCTCCGGGGAGACAGAGCTTCTTTCCGACGGACTTCTTGCCCAGTATCTCCAACGATCTCCGCTAGGATGGAAGCAATCATTTAAAGCAAACGACTCTTCTGGCTGAGAAATGAAGGGTACGATCCAGCCATAGCTGAGCATTTTCAATTGCCGAGGCGTTCAGTGGAAGAGAGAAACAAGCGTCTCCGTGCCTCCCACCGAAATCCGCTGAGACGCGCAGCCCGATCCTATGCGTGTCTCTTCAAGCAAATCTCGCCGGATTCCACGCAGGTCGCTCCCAAGTTAGGGTGACAGGACGTGGAAAGCGTTGACTTGCGCCCCAAAAGGCATTGCGATTAAAACACCATAGAACTCTGGTAACAAAATGGTGCGGAAATCTAGACGTCATTAAACCGTTCTCAATTCAGCCGAGATGTTAGGTTTGGTTGTGAACTTTGAGCGCTGTGGAGGATCTGTCTGAATCCCTCCCAGGCCCGTGTCAAAGGAGAGCACAAGCTTCCATAAGAGATGCATGGATCGGGAAACAGCAGGCCGGGAGGAGGGCTTTGGCACTTCCTCGCCCTTTCCCGGCGCAGGTCACGAAGACAGATGGAGCCAAAGCGTGGTTACTGGGTTGCACGAGCGCGAGCGCTGCAGAATGCGGATTCATTGACCTCTGCACACCTGGGCCTTTACCCGCGCGGCCTTGGCTCGTCATTGAGTTGCGGGGCTGGTTTTCAAAAAGGGAATTTGGAGGATAGGTTTATGGTCAGTTACAAGTCACAGTGGTGAGTAAAGGGATCCTGCCACAGGCAGAGGCAGAGCCATACTGAGGCAAATGGCAGGCTTGCCCGCTCATGGGGGGCATCTGATGAGCCCCCGTTGGAAGAGCCAGCAAAGCCACCCCTCTTCTGCTCCCAGGGTTAAAGGAGGAATAAAGGACGGCCTTCCTTCCCCCAGCGTTCCAACACCTTCGTCTGAGTGCATTCTAATCCGCGTGGAAGACTGATTCACACAACTCGGGGTGGGCATAAAACCGATTAATTACATCGCAGGAAGAGAGAAATCACCTCCTAAATGCCTCTTCCTGGGGCGACATTATGCGTGCAGAGCAGTCTTCCTTTAAAACAGGGGTGTCAAACTCAAATTCATCAGGGGCCGCGGCGCCGCTAGAGGGCAGATGTTCTCTGGCTTGTAGGCTGCCACGCATGCGCTGAAGAGGCGGCTTTCTTGTGTCCAAAAAAAAAAAGCGAGAATAAAAGGTGAAGGCTGGCGGCCGGCGGCGGCTACACAGGCCACATGACGAGGTCTGGCGGGCCGGATTCGGCCCGCGGGCCTTGTGTTTGACACCCGTGCTTTAAAACTATATTAAGGCAATACCTTAATGGCTATGTCAGCTATGTCAGCCCTCTTTGATAGGGCTCTCCAAGGCTTAGTAGCTGGAGACGTGTGTGGAATAAAGGGCAGGTATGTAACAGTTTGCCAGTCCTGATAGAACCTCCCTGTACCCCTGAGCAGGGGACCCTGGGGACACAGAAAGGGTGGGCTTTTCCCTCCATGCAACCCTTGTAGGCTTCCTAGAGACATCTGTCCTCCTTTGAAAACAGAATCGCTGCTTGGGTGGCCCTTGGCTCTGACTCAAGTGCTTCTGTTCATCTGTAAACTGCCAGAGATCCACTGACAGTCAACTGATGTCCTTCAGCCATGTGGTCCCCACTGCCAACACAGAGCTTAAGGTCCACAGGATTATGAAAAGCCTCATCCTGCAAAGCAACTACAGATGAGGCAGTCAACCTCTACTTCGAACCTTACATGATGGAATGTCTCCTTCCCTGGCAGATGCATAACTAGTATATCTGGTCAGACGTCTCCCTGACATGCTTATTTTCTACCTACAGGGAGTCACTTTCCAACACAAGTGCCTCACCTGCAGTCTGAAGTGGTATAGCCCTGGCGGGGGTTGCCAACACCCTCCCACCCCCAATCTCCTAGTTGTGAGAACAGAGAGATAAAATCCAACCTGTAGAAGTAAATCTAAAAGATTAACACTGTCGCTCAATCTAATTTGACAAGCAAATTGAATTAAAGTGGACTGTGATTCACTGTCGCCAGTTAACAGGCTTGGGATGGCAAGAGAATTGTTGCTCTCCGGAGGGCAGTGAAGAAAAATCAGGAAGAACCTAATGAGGAGAAAGACACCATAGAAGAACTTCTTCATCTAGACAATTCCCCACCCCCTTTTCCCTGTGTAGTATTACTATTTCCAGAATATTCATACCCTACGAGATACTTAAAATTCCTTATTCATTTAAACATGAAAGGGATCTTCTTATTCCAGATGCCAGAATATCTCCCATTTGTTGTAATTTCATCAGGAGATCCTAAAACAGCTGTATACCATCCTTCATTGTTTGAGGGATATCAAGGTGGTATACAATCAATAATCATAATAAAAGTCAATAATAAAACAATTAACTACAGCCTCCTTGATAGCTGTAAATCAATAATAAAACAATAACCACAGCCAATCAAAACCAGCCTAGAACAAAAGAAGGTGCCTGCATCAAGGAAAACTGGTGCTGGAGGGATTAAGTGGGCATTATTAGACTAATACCCCCACTTTCTTCTATGGAGCTTAAGGTGGCATACATGGTTATCTCTTCACCAGCTTATCCTCACCACAACCCTATGAAGAAGGTTAAGCTGAGAGTCAGTGACTGGTCTATGTAACCCAGTAGACTTTTTTATGGCTGGATGAGGACTTGGACCCCATCTTGCGATTACATGGCAGCTCTTGAAGGGGTGGTCCTAAACTGGGGTGCCACGCCTGAAAAAGAATCCTCTTTTGTTGTGGGGCACTGTTTCCTTTCTGATAAAGGAGGTACCCAAAGCAAAGCTGCAACAGAAGATCTCAAAAGCGTGTCTGACAAACCAGAAGAAACATGCAGCTCCAACCTATACAAGGTCCTTTTTGTTCAATGCAGCTTATTTCAAAGTGTGGGTAGGATTGCAGCTGTAGGAAAAGGAGCTGTTTGATTACTCCTTTCCATCAATGGTACTCATTGAGCATTGGGCTACCTTGGAGACAGCATAAGACTCTTAATCTCAGGGTTGTGGGTTCAAGCCCCATGTTGGACAAAACAGCCCTGCATTACAGGGAGCTGGACTAGATGACATTCACAGTCCTTTTCAACTCTACAATTCTGTGAAAGGCTCCTTCCACCCTGTTACTGATTAGAGAAAATGATTTCAGAACATCTTCTAGCTGTTTCCCAGCCAGTCTTCTAGCTATTTCCCAGCCTTATATTACAGATTAGAGTGACAAAACGATAGTAATGAGCTGTTAACTTCTCCTGGGTGAACATGGTTTTCAACTATGAGATTTGAATTGTGGTTGATCCTCTTTTTGAACAGAAAGTGGAAAAGAACCATTTGTTTTATTAATCATTACATTTATATCCCATCCTTTTCTCTATGGAGCTCAAGATGGCATACATGATTCTCACCATCCTCTTTGAACACCCACAACAACCAACATGAGAGGTAGATTAGGCTGGGAGGCAGTGACTGGCCCAAGGTCACCCCATGAGCTTCATGGTCGAGTAAGGATTTGAACTCTGGTCTCACAGGTCTCCAACATTCTAACCACTACATTACAAACATCTGCAAGGCAAATGGACATTCTGGGGATTATTTTCCCCATTTTCATTATAAACCATATTATGTGATGGCAGTGCACATGTTTGCTCAATAAGATATATAGACCACAAAATATGTTGGTATTAAGCTTTGTGTGAGAATACACGTTTGTTTCCAGCATGGAACATTTGGGCCACCATCCAACTCTGTAATATTATACACAGTAAGTCCAATTGGGAATGAAGTCGAAGCAGACTTAGGGTTCCATTGTTAGTTGCTCTCTTTTCTCCCACGTGCTTAATGGAAGATGTACACTCATGAGAAACTTCAACACACAGGTGCAAAAATAATGTTGGAGGGCATGTCAAGTGTTAATTCACCCTAAGGTGGAGGAGCTGTCTCTGTGGTCCATCAGAGGTGCTTGGACTGCAGCTCCCAAGATCCTGAACCCTGGCCACTGGAGCTAAGGGATGCTGGAGTCTGACAATCTATGGAGGACCATGTTAGCTATTCCTCACTAAGGGCATGAGGCAGGGTGAGGCAACCACCTCAGGCAGCAGGATCCACAGGGACAATAGTTCCCAATGAATGTCATAGAATCATAGAATTGTAAAGTTGGAAGGGACTCTGAGGATCTTCTAATCTAACACCCTGCAATGCAGTTGTCCCATAAGGGGATTGAACATGCAACCTTGGCATTATTGCCACCGTGCTCTAACCAACTGAGCTATCTTCATTCTCCCTTTGTTTGATGTGATCTTCATTCCGTCTTTCTTCTCTGGAGGGGATGCACCATTTGGTGGTTCGCCACAGCTGCCAAAATGTCTTGAGTAGGCCCTGCCTAAGGGATTGGCCTGGAGGCTTTTGGGAGCAAATGCCCTGGAGATATTGGCAGCCTGTAAGTGAGCTAACATTTTTAGAAACATCACTCAAGCCCCCAGCCCAACCCTTGCTGGTCGCTCTCCCAAGGGAGACTATAAAGGAGGCAGCTCCGCTTTTTAAGAAATTGAGATCCTGTGCACACTTATTAGGGGTGTGTGTGGGTGTGGGTGTGCATTTCTTTTGCAAACCATGGAAGTTAACTGGTTATTTGCAAGTAACTTCCTTATGACTGCTGATCTCAACTACCTGTTTCTCGATAGACTTCCAGAACTTGGCTTATGGTCACAATGAGCAAGAGGTTAAAAGTCTGTCCAAGGGAGTTAAATTAGCTTCGTTTGACCTGGATCATCCCATGCCTAGTTTTAAATAGACTTTTCAGAGCTACCATTTAACATTTAACTTACTGTTGGGGACGGCGCTTCTCAAACCTCATGAGCAAAATGTCAACGTTATGTTTCCTTTCTCGTGAGAGCTCCGCTAGGTTGCTACACCTCTAACTGGGTCCTCCCTCTGCGGCTTCAATTGGATTTGCATTTGTTAAAAGAAATGGTTAACATTCAATTTCATGCTTGATTTCTACTGTAAATACTGAGCCCCATCTTCGCTCCCCCTCCGTGCTCACTGGGCCTGAACAAGCCGAAAAATGCTTTTCGGAAAATCACGTTTCGGAGTCTGCAAACGCTGCTATCAGCAGACTCCACCTGAAAAATAGTTTTGCAAGACGGAGCACATCCCCAAAGACATAGTCCTCCTCTCGAGCGTAGCTGCGCGCGGCACTTCTGCGCAAAGCACTTGGCCGGCGGGGGGGGGGGGTCCGGGATCGCTCTTTTTAACCCTTCGGTAGTCTACGGCTGGGATCGAGTCCGGTCCAACCAGTGGCTGCAAATAAACCTGGATCTCTCCCTCTTGCCAGCGCTTGTCTACGAAAAACTGAGATTTTAAGGTTGAGTTTGCTTGGAAGGAAGGCCCGGGGACACCACGAGAACATTACCTCCAAGAAAGCTTAGGAGCGCCCACTTGAAGCTGGTGAGACTTCATTGGCAGCAGGGGTGCCAACTTGAATAAATTAGCGGGGGCAGGTAAGCGCCATCCCGCATAATTGATCACATAATTATGCACACGCACACCATTTGAATGGCAATGCCAATCAACCGGGGGGAGCGGACCCCTCAAATATTTTATTGGGGGGGCTGGGTCTTCATAGGAATTGGCTCCTATTCTGCGCAGTAAACAGCACTGCCCGCTCGTCGAACCTTTCCACCTGGCACAAGCGAGGCCTTCGCCACGGTCAGCACCAGCCTTTGCCCGGGGGCACTTCCGTCAGCTCTAACTGAACGAGCCAGCTAACAATGCACGATGGCAGGATCCCCGCTGCAAACGATGCGGAGAGGAACATTCTGGAAAGGAAGGAGAGGCCCTGCAGTGGGCAAGCGTCGAAACTGACGAGACTGTGCCTGCGCTTTAGGAGGGGGGGACCCGCCTTTTGAGAAGAGGAATAGGACGTGGATAGGATGGCAATTTCTGTGCATGCCGTTAGTAGTTTTGGAGGAGAGGGCGTTTGGGCAGGGACGACCTATCTGCTCCTCAGCAAGTTGCGGTTGCGGTTGGTGTTATTTATGCCCTTTCTAGACAGACCGTCGATCCTCAGATTCCTCTGGGAGGGGCTCCAGAAGTCGATAAACCACACAGATCGAATCGATGAAACAGTGTGGAAATGTGAATGTTCAAAGCGAAAAGAGCCTTGCCCTCCAGTCCAGACGAGCCTTTTCCACTGACAAAGAAGTGCCTTTGGAAGCCTGAGCGCCGCAATTCATCCCTTGAATGGAAGGGGTTTCAGAGCTGCCCCTTTCCACCCACAGCGAGAGCTCATGCAGTAACAGGCCACGGAGTACCCCGCCCTTCAGAAAGGACTCTGCAGCAAGTTCACTCTGAAGGGGTTGGAGAGCTAGCGGGGACCAGTGACGCAGCTGGAGCTACGCTGGGCAAGTCCAGGCCGCCCTCAGTCAAATGACCTCCCAGAGATGCTCGGGGCAGCCGCCAACCCGCCCCGGGGCAGCACTTGAGCTGGCCCTGCCGGGGCTGACATGATTCCTGCAGCACCTTTTCTTCTTCCTTTTTAATAACGCTTCCGTTTTCAGTGGGCAGCAGACAGGGCACGTCCACATAGTTAGAGATGTCCCTCTTATTATGTTTGCTTTAAATATACATTTCCTCCTGCTTTTCTCCAGCAAAATGGTGATTCTTCCCAATAACAAAAACCACCAGTATGGTCCTTCAGCCCTTGTGGCAGCCCCCGCCAGCACCGCCTTCTGTGGGTCTTGCTTCAATAGAACCGAACAACTCCTTTTTCAGTCCGTTGAAGACTGGCGGAGAACGAAATGAGCGCCCCAGAGCGAAGAAGCAGCTCGGCCCGGTGCCTGAGAACGCAGATGTTAAGTCCCACCGACTTCCATGCAGGGTCTTCGCCTCCCATAACGCCCACCGTCAAGAATGGATTCTAAACCATTGTTCATTTATTAAATTTGTATACCGCTCTTCCTCTGGAGATCTTAGGGCGGTTCGCAGCACAAAAGTACAATATAAAAACACAAAATACATAATAAAAACAAAACCATCACCCCCCCCCCAGATGCTTTGGTTAGTTGTCATCGGTCTGTCTCGGGAGACAATGGAAGAAAAGTGCGCCTTCCGGGGTGAGGTCAAACTGTTGGAGAGTTAGGGCACTTTAATGGGTCGATTAATCAGCTAAATGTCCTGATTAACCGGAGGAAGCCAACCGGCCAGGACGAATTTTAATCCCTGGCTCTCGGAATGAAGCGCACACCTCTGATGATCCCTAGATTCTGTTGTGTTACTTGTGAAAGGCAGTGAAAAAGAAGACACTAAAATGATTTTTAAGCTTTTCCCTGATAAACAACAAGCTCACCCACACGTGGCTTAATATGCCTGAGGCACCTATATTTTATTTAAAATGTTTGCATACCTTTTCTTTTTAAACCTTTTAAAGCTGTATTGGTTAATGGGATTTGAGCAATATGCTGATATAAAAAAGAAAGAAAGAAACAAGCAATTATTATATTGCTTTAATAAACCGTAAAGTATTTAGTTGTTAAGAGCCCTGGACACTTTGACGCCTTCACAACCCAGATAACCTCCCCACACAAAAAGTTCCACATAAGTGAGTACCCAAAATGTTTCAACTATTTGTTGTTATCATCATCATCATCATCATCACCCTGCTACAGTGGGTTTGGTTCATCCTGACTATTACAGCTCCCTCCCTGGGTTAGCAAGACCCGTTGGGATTCAATATACGTAACAGGGCTGCAGAATTGTCCGCTTCTCTGGCATCAGCGCGCGCGCGCGCAAAACACGCGGAGGACCCCTCATTTTTGCTTTTTTTTTCTGGCTGCAAACGCTCCTTTTGCAAACCTGCGGGCCCCCTCCCCAGCCTTTGGAAGTAAGCTGGAGACCCCATGAACGAAACACCTGCCAGTCAGGTGTCAGAGCACCCGCAGCAGCTCTAAATGCCCACCTGCTGGATCTCTCTCTCACACACGCACATCCATGCACCCCTCTTTGTCCTTAGGAATTCGTCGCGAGACGTTTAAGAGGCAGCGACCTCTCGGATGAGGGGAGGTGTCGCTTGCTGCAAGTGGCTCGGTTGGGGGGGGGGGGACGAGGCCAGCTCCTTGGCGATGTTTACCCAGAGAGGGTGGAATCTAAAGGACGCTCTCGACAATCAATGGAGCCTTGTCTCAGGTTACCGAGCTGAGCTCCCCTAAATGAGTCCAGCAGGCTGATAACCGCAGGTTAAAGGCACCTGAGATAAACGGCTTCCAGTGGCTTGATGTCAGAGAAGATAAGCAGGGGCGGGGGGATGTGCTTTTTATCTGCTGGAGCTAGAGCAGGTTTCATTCACCGAGTCGCGATTAGAGAAGGATGAGAGTCTTTTGTAAGGTTGCATAGGACGGAGGCCAAGGAAGGATAGCATCGCAATTCTCCCTTCTTCTTGGGGCTCCATGGAAGTGAGGTGCTGGAAAGAGTGGGGCTGTCCTCCTGAACTACAGCCCCCCACTCCCTGCCTACTCCTAGGGGCCGAGGTCCCTTGCTCCCCCAATAGGCGACAGTCCCATGGAAAGACCCTGGAAAGCGCCTGCCGGTGGTGCGAGTAAGTGAACTCGATCAACCCTTGATATAAGACGGGTTCATACGTTCATGATCTTTCCGAAAACCATGCTATGGAGCGCTTGGAAGGAAGGAGATGAATCTCTTGAATCACTCCCATGAAGTGTTCAGACCTGCTCCAACTAGCCTAAGGGTGTCACACTTTTAGATCTCGCAACGACCTGCTTCAGCGTTCAGCAAACAGTACCTGCGTGCAATCCTATGCATGTTTACTCAGTGATTAATCTCATTGGCTTAGAATGGGTAAGGGCTTCATTAAGAACCCTTACCCCAAAAAGTTGTGGGGTTTTTTGCCTTCTGCTCAGGGTTGCAGATGGCTGGCTACTGAACCGGCTAGCGCCTGCCATTTACTCCGAAGCAGACGAACTGACTTTGGATCAGACGTCACTTTGAAATGAATAGCTTTGCGCGTCGGCGCTTAGCAGGCCCTCTATTAAAGTTACGCAGACTTACATTACTTTAAAAGATTCAATCAAAACAATTATTTCCTCAATAAATATCTGAACTACAATAACGGTTGTAGTTATAATAGCCCACCAAATATAAGAATTGTTAAGGCTGTAATACTATGCACGCTTACTTGAGAGTAAATCCCAATTGATCTCACTGGAGTTTACCTTCCAGTAACCATGCGTGTCCAGTTTATTATAACCTTGTTGTGTCCAACTCTTATATAATTGTATCAAGTAGATTTAAGATGCTTGTTTTGGGGTGGGATGTGGCCTTCAGCATCTAAACTGCAATCCTGTGCACACAAACCTAAGGGTAAGCGTCATGGGACTCCGTGAAGCTTACTTCCGAGTAGACTGTTGGTCATAATCTGGTTTGTCCTGCGAGGCAAAACTCACTTGGCTTCAGGAATTTGTGTCAGATCCACATTTGTGGATTATCTTCTCCCCACCACCCGAATTTCGAATTCTAGTGAAAGTCAGCCAGATAGGGGCTGATGTTTTTTCGGAAACAAATCCCGCTGAGATCCGTAAAATTCACCTACAAGTCTATAGGATTGCTGCCGGTATTGTTTGCATATACCAAATATGGTATGAAACCTACAGAAAGATGGAATGGGTTTCACACACCTAGGAGCTAAAGCATAACTTCGAAGCGATCCATTGATTTCCACGAAACATTCTTCCCTATTAACTTGCGTAAAGTCTCACAGAAAGGCGAAGGCCCCGCGCAGGTGGAAGAGAAAGTGAGGGACAGCAGAGCCGAAGCTGGATCTAGAACGCAAATGAATGAGTGGATTATTCATTCTGAACGGCATTGTTAATTAAGGCTTCCAACTTAAACATACTTTACCAGAAATTAAGTCCCACTGAACGGCTCCTGCATGCGACTCAGTCCACAAATCTGGACTGATGCTGCGGCCACAGGCTACATAATATTTCATCGTAATCGTGTGTGAGGATGCCAACTCTTCAGTGGGCATCTGTACCTGCACTTTTAACTGCAGTTCCGTCTGCAGCAAATTGAGATGAATTCCTCTCACCTCCACGAAAGAGGGTTGCAGATCAAGCCGCTGTTAGAGGCACAGCAACCAGATCTGATTGCAAAGTTGGCTGCCATTTATATATGAGATTAATTTTGCTCTAAATGATTCTTCTTCTTTGGGTGCTTGTTTGGCAAGGCCTCTTCCCTGCTGGTAGGAGAATTGCTTCCCTTCTGAATTTTAACTTTTCAAAGATTTGGGGAAAGCAGTTAGAATGAAAAAGTCAGGACAGACAATCATGGCTTTGAGTGCAAATTAACCCAGCGCCTCCACCTTTAAAAATGGTATCAAATTGCACATGGCCCTTGATTTATTGTCTCTAGCCTGGGGTTTTTTAATGCATAGCTTACTATGTTTTAATTTTGCACCTGTTTGTTTGGGGGTCTAGAGGACTTAATGCTGGAATGCAAACTTTTTCTTTTCTTTTCTTTTCGTCTTCTATCATACCAAACTGACAAAGCGAACTGGCTAGAAGTATCAGTGAAATGAAATTGCTTTTTTGGTATTGATAAGGATTAAGCAATTGGAGGGAGCGAATAGGTATTTTCATTATTTACTTTCTAAAATATATGAATTTCTATGTTTTTATTGCCAATTTTGCTAAAAATAGTAAAAAAAATCCTTTAAAAAATCCTCGTAGCGAGTTCAGTATCATGTAGGCATGTAAAGTATAACTGCTGAAACCAGTTGGCCTTACTTCCGAGTAAGAGGAGGAAGGATCAGACTTCAAAGCTAGCTGACCACTTTCTTCAGTGGGATATGAAAGATTCCTAAACCTGGACTGGATAGCAGGCTGCGAACCTACATACACTTTCCAAACAGTAAGTCAATGCGGCTTACTTGCAAGTAGACATGGGTAGGATCGCACTATTGCAATACACTCGTATGCTTATCTACTGAGAAGTAAAGGAGAATTAAGTTCAATTAGACTTACTCTCAGGTATATGCGTATAAAACCAACTTTACAACGCAGCTCTATTTATCTGTTCAAAAGAAAGGCCGATTTAGTCTGCCAAATAAGTCTGCTTAAACCAATTGCCATGTACACTAACTCAGGAGTCAGTCTCACTTTGTTCAAGGGCGCGTATCCATTTATTTTACTAATTAGATACATCCAAATGAATTATTATATTTTCACTACACACGCGCGCGCACACACACACACACATTAGTAGCAAACTGCTCAAGCCCTTCTCAAATTGACAGAACAAGAATAAGGCTATCAAAAGAAAAATTCTCGCTTCGTTCATATAATAAAATAACAGAGCAAGGGACCATAAATCACCGAACGACATATCTCCCCGTTTAATTTTTACTTTTTCGAAGGTTAGACGTTGCCGAGGTAGTTAAACTGGTGGGGTGAACCCCTTTTCTTTCCGCCCACCCGACCCACAATTATCCGGCTTCCTTCTATGAAGTTTCTAGATTAATATCGGTGGAGCGAAAGGCGAGAGAATTCCCCGCTTGAACGGCAGGATTAGGAATATTTCTAGAAGAAAGAAGAGGGTGTGAATTGACTTTAGCCTGCAATCGTCTAAAGCGGAATTACAGCTTGTAAAATAGGTCTCCATCAGTCTCCCGGGAGACGGGCTCAGTTCGACTTGGGTGTTCCAGCTCCTTCTTACCCCTCGCAATAATTAGCTCCATCTCGGTCCCAAGCGTGTGTCTTCCCCACCCCCACACCAGGGTTTCCTTATCCCCAATAAATGTTGTTGCTGTTTTGCCCGGCCCCCAAGTCCAACAAACCTCTGGGGCACCCAAGGGACTTGCCCTGTTTACGAAGGGGTGGCGGCAAAAGATGCAAAATGCGAAAAAGAAGAAGGTTTTGGGTGCCAACTCAGAGCTTGCGGCCGCCCTTGGGGGCTGGTGGGTTTGCCTTTAAGAAAGGAGAGAGGGGAGGGGGCGAAAGTGAGGAGTGTGACTTTCTTATCAAAGTGCGGGAAATGTCATTTTCTTTGTGCTTTGATGTCTGGTTGTCTTTCAGCCCATCCTTGCATGTCATTACCAGACTCCCAACAGAGAAAGAGGTGTGGGGCTTTTTTTGGTTTGGTTTTGTTTTGATGGGAAGTAAAGAAAAGAGTTGGTGGGGGGAGGAGAAGACGGGGATAAAATAGGGATGCACAATTAGATGATTTCTGCCCTTCTATTACAGCGGTGAATGGCAGAATTCTTGACAGAGTAGCGAACCGGCGGGTCTATTCTTAACTGGTTGAGTTAACATGTACGGGTGTAAAGCGCCAGGGGCGGGCGGGCGGGCGGGTGAGGTTTCTTGTTATTTCCCCCCTCAGGTCTTTTTCCTTTAGAGAAAGTCGACTTCTGAAGCAATTTCATCCGTTAAAAAAAGGAAAGGAAAGGGGAAATAGTCTGTTAGATCAATATTGAAGCAATGTTGCATGAAACCAAGTCAGGATTAGTCCAGGGAGCCACGTTGTTTCTGTGGGTCCAATTCAGCCACCCCCAAATCCCAAAATATTGCTAGTCTCGCAGATTTCCAAAGAACTAAATCCCCTCCAGTTGGGTGCAAGTTTACCCGATCAAAACCGTGATGAATTTCAGTTCAGATCAGTGGAGCTGACTCCTCAGTTAGGACACTTGCTTGGGAGTAAGTTGCTTGGTTGGTTGAGCATAGAGGAGCCTACGTCTGCGTAAGCATGCATAGTTTGGGGCTGCAAAGCTGCAGTTCTTCTTCACCCACTAACCTGCGACTATTGACCTCAAGAGGCATTGCATTTTTGAGTCCATATGCTTACTTGGGGCTAAGCCCAGTTCCACGGGGTTTCATAGAATAGAATCATAGAGTTGGAAGAGACCACAAGGGCCATCGAGTCCAACCCCCTGCCAAGCAAGAAACACCATCAGTTTCCTCCTGAGTAAACACGCATCAGTAGAGGCTGCGTGTCAGTTCGACTTCTCTTTCCAGAAAAGGTTTTAAATGTTCGAGACTGCAAAGCTGCCTGGCTAATCCCCTGACAGCCGAGCTTTCTGTATACATGGCATTAAAACACATTGACGCAGCGCAGCCGCAACGCTCTTTTCTCCTTCAGGATTAAGAGGTGTTCTGGACACTTGGATTTAGGGTGAGATGTGTTGAAAAGGAAATAAGACTCAAGTTTGAATCGCTGGATAATGAGGAGAACAGGACTCCTGCACCTTCAGTTGCTCCACAGAAAAGGGAAATTTACTAACTATAGGTTGCATGATAAACCATAGCAGCTGAAATGTCCTCTCTCACGCAGCAACTAAAGGGGCACGAGCGCTGCCTTCTTGGTTCACCTGACCATTCTTATTACTAGGGAAGTGCATCCCATTGAAATCCATCTAACTTGCCTCGAAAAAACTGCGTTTCCCATCTGGGGTGCGTCTTTTGTGATTCAGGGAACTCCTTCTTTGCCAAAGTCTTCCGCCACCTTACGGTGCCGCGCCGGGTCCCCAAAAGGAGATTCCTAGGTGTGTGTGTGCTGCGGGGGGTTGGGGTTACCCTGAACTGTTCATCGAGGAAAGTCTCCAGGCAGTTAAAGAGGGTCAAACGCTGCTTACACTTGTGCCACCTAAACAGAGAAGAGCAGGAGGCGGAGGGGCATCGGCCGGGAGATGGACAAGGAGGGGAGTCCTGAGGACGGAATGGACTAAACTGCCCTAAGAAGGGAGGCGGTGGCTTTCCGCTTTATAGACAATGCTAGACACGGTTGCCATAGCGGCGAGGACGCCTCAGCGTATGTATGCTTCTTAACGCAGCAACGAGGGCGCAGGGGGGCACCGAAGAGGAGCGGGGCCGGGGACGCAGAGGGGAGTCGGGGGCCTCGTTCTCCTATCCCATCTACGGTTAGCTAGACGAAAAAAGGCGCAGCGCGCTTTCTGGGTCTTGGTTGATCCACGTCGCCTTTGCAACTAAGCGCCCTCCGCCTCTGGAATGCAGCGTCGGATTGTTCCTTTGGTGGATGGAATGGAAATGTTTCTTTACAATCAGCCTAGACGTTCCCACCCCCTTCCTCGTTCTACCCCCCTTGCAAAATGCTGTCTTGCGAGCTCTTAACCCTCATTGTATGTCTCCTGTGCCTGCCTTGCCCCTCCTAGGCGCGCCTCTCCCCTCTAAATTTAGGACAGGGTTCAACTAAAGATAGGCTCCCGGATCCACCTTCTACCACAGCAGGAGATATTTGGGAGATCTGGTTCTCTTTGGCTTGAATGAGGCAGAGGCGCAGCATCCGGTACTTGTAGGCCCCCTGACTATCTCCGCCGCCCCCCACCAAAAATGCTCTAAACTGACCTCTTGGAAGCCTCCGGGCTTACAAGTGCTTAACTTTGGCTTGGAAGTAAAATTGGTGGGAGGGGAATGAAATTTAGATGGTAAACTCCTTGGGGCGGGAACCTAATCCCCTTTACTTATGTGACTCTCGGAAGAGCACTCTGAACATACTCAGAAGTGATGTGAGCATGTTCCAGAGCGGAGCCGTGAGACTGGGCCCAAATTCAATAATTCGCTGAATTGTCCGAATTCCATTTTATTAATAATCATTAAAAAGGCCGGCGGGGGGGGGGATGTTGCCAGCCCTGCTGCTGTGCTTTTAAACTGTAGCCTGGCGCAGTGAATTTTAGCGAAGTTTCTTGGTCTGGCTGCACAGGAGCAGTAAAAGAAAATGTTGGCAATTTTGCTTCGAAGGGGAGATTGGTTTCTGCCTAGACGAAGTATGCTTACTATTTATGCACTCATTTTCCTTTTTAAAAAAATATTGCCAAAAGAAGGATAAGGATCGGAAACACAAAATTGCCCATTTGGCAGATTAAATCTATTTCCAAGCGTCGGCTCCTGGCGCTTTCTGCAAGACTCTCTTGCCTGCCTGACCGCCTATCAGAAACACTGAGCGCCTTTCCCAGCTGAGATCAGGCTGCCTGAGCTTCTTGGAGACGAGGCTGGAGGTGATTTTCTTCCCTCAGCCCTCTATCGAAAGACCCGAAGGGAAGGACGTGGATAGACACTCATTTAATGACAAGTAATTGACAAATCCGAGAGGCCGCATTACGAGTGGTCTAGGGGAGTATTAATTATTGAAAAACCATTAGCCTCTGTGTGTGTCCTGCAGAGATCCCATCTTGTTCGGGAAATATAAGCTGTCACGTCAGTTTAGATGGAGGGGAAATCAGATGAGGAACTCCTCCCCCTCCCTCTCTCCGCTGCAAGCCCCACCCGGAGGGAATCGGAGACTACAGCGCCAGCACACAGGCTTCCTACCGAGAAGACCTCTCGCTTTCTTTCCCGAAGTAACTCCTCTGGATCTGCTCGCCTTTCCCCCGACACTGCTCCCCAACAGTTGTCGTGGCCTTGGATGGCGTTAAAGAGGGAGGGGGAAAGACCTTGCAAGTCAAGGTCACCGAGGCAAGGAGAGTCAAATCCACTGAGGAGATATGGCGTGTCGCTCCACTTTTTCCTAAAATGCCGCCGCCCCCCCCCCAAATAGAGATTACGATACAGAAAACAGCTTATCCCCTCTACATCTGATGTTCTGAGGGGCAGAGATTGGTCGACCAATTTAAAAGCTACTGAAAGACGTGGGTCCTAGCTGAGGTTTTTGGGGAGATTACGACTCCACTTCAGTTTTGTATCTGTAAAATGGGGGGAGGGGTCTTTAATAAAGATATATGATAAATGGGCAAAGGGAGCAAAAGCCGAAGTTAATCTCCTTCAAGTCAACGTTGCCTGAATATGCTTGGCTGGGCTGGACTGAATCTCGCCCTTGTTGTCCGAGCTTTCCCCCAGTGCTCAAAGCTCTTTACCACTCATCTCTCCGTTACTACACAACGTGCGACCTTCGGGTGGTGTTGTGGGGCAGAAATAATTCCAAAGCACTTTTCACACACGCAGACAAATTGAAAAATACACATTTAACTCTCTTTTTTAACCAGAGCTACTTCGCAAAGTGGTGTAGAAAATTTGGAAATGCAACCGCCCTGCCCAGGGATCATGGCGGCTTCGCGCCAAAGGTTCGCTTCTCTGTACTGTATAAGAAAGAGCACGATCCAGCGGGAAGTTCTGAGCAAACCGAATCGGAATGAATGAGAAATGGGCAAAGGTAGCGCAGACAGGAGGACTTTTCGGTGCGCAGCTGAGAGTCACAGTGCATTGTAGACTACGCATTGCCCCAAAGGCCCACGTGTCCAGGGGTTGCGACCTCAGGCTTCCGCGGCCACACAACTGTCCCATGAGCCGCCTCCATCCCGTTCAAGTCCTTTGCAGTCTTGGGAATTTCGGTTTAAAAAACCCAATTTTTAAGAAGTGTTGTAATTCTTTTCAAGCCATTTCCCTGCGGTGTGATCCTATGCCGGCTTACTTGGAAGAAAGTCCAAATGTCCTCATCTGGGCTCACTCCCAGGTAAGCCTGCACAGCGTGGCGTCCTGCTGCTTCTGAAGCATCAAGGAAGGAAGGAAGGAGTCGGCCGAGGGCGGGTGGCTGGCGCAGAAGCCGAGAAGAAGAGTACAGCTGTTAAGACCCGCCAGCTGCTCCGAACGTCAACGAGGTCGATTCCGAAAAAGGGAGAGGCGGGTAAAAAAGCTCGCCTCTCCCAAGCAAAAGAAAAACCTGCTGGATCAGGCCCAACGGCCCGCCAGAAAGCCCACTGAGCTCAGTGGCCCTTGCTTCCGAGTAAGCCTGCATACTCATGCTGCATGATAAGCCAGCACCTCTCTCTCATCCACTTTTTCTGTTCCGCACCCACTCCTTCCCACAACTCCAGCCAGTAAAACTTAAACAGCCCAGGAGGCCGCGTGAGAATCAGGTCGCCAGGACCTTTAGGGGACGATCCCGGCTTCCTGATGACTATGGGGCAGCCCCCAGCTCACATTCCTCCGCTGGGGAGGAAGGTTTCTCGTAGCCACGGGGAACCTAACGCACATTTTAAACCTGTGGTTCTGGGGTCGGGGGAGATGACCGCTGCCCCCCTCCTCTAGGCCTGATTCTGACCGGGGATCAGCAGCAGGTAGGAATCAGGCAAGACTCTCAGCTACCTCTCCCGCCCGCTGCCAGCAGCGCAAAACAACAACGACGCGCACCAGCACCACCAAACTTAAAAGTCCCTACCTGATGCCCTGGAGCTGCCGGTGGCAGAAGCGACGGTGACGAGCCCAGACGCCCCGCTGACTGCAGCTCGGCAGCAATGCATCGCGGCATTTATTGGAGCGACTGTTGACTTTAGCACAAAGCAAAGATTTCACTGCCCGCTAGTTTAAAAATGAATATTTTACCAAGATATCGATCAGCGTTATAAAATTCAGTTAAGCACAATGGCTCGAAAGGAGCAGAGAAAACACACGCACACGCATGCACGCACACGTACACACAGGCAGAAGCGTTCCTAATATCTGTGTAAATTTGCTGAAGAATGACGTGCTGCGTGAAGTTTCCCTCCTGGAATTTGGCGTTAAATATTTAGTTATTTATTTATTTTGTTGTTGTTGTTGTTAGTTTACTGGTTTTGCCTATTCGCAGATGGCGGGGACTTAAATCACCAGCGGTTCAAAAAAAAATAACGGGAGGTGGGGTTGAATGAGGAAGGCAGACCGTGTGGTCCTTTGCAAAGCGACCCCGATCTAACGCGTGAAGAGGATGTGAAAGGAGGCCGAAGAGGAAAGAAGAGACCTCGACTCTAAACAACATCTACACGCGCGCGCACATTCCTCCCTCTCTTTTTTCCTTTTTAAAAAGGTCTTTTGGCAGAGGTATATATCTTATCGCTCGGGATCAGCGGAGTGGGAGACAGCTAAGTAGTTTAAAACGACCGCAGGCGCGATGGGACCGGCCAGGTTAGAGCATCACATTCGCGTCCCATTGTCCGCACAATCGCTGCCATTCCAGGCCTCCATTCTTCTGCGCAACGGGAGCCTTTTATGTGGTAATGAACACACATTTTCCGCTTTGCTTCACAACGTGTGTGTCCTCGCGGGACACAGGCGGGCGGCGGGGAAGCGCGGCCGAATGGGGTCCTCTCCACCCGCAGGCCTGTTTTTTAAAAGGTGCCTTTTGGGGGCCCCCAGTCTTCCCGAAAAAACAATGAGGGGGGATTTGAGAGGGATTCGCAAGTTTAGATCACTTCTTAAATCTATAAACGTTGTGCGGGGGGTGGGGGTGGGCGAGGAGCGGACAGACTGTTGTCCGGAGCGAAAGCAATTGATATTTTATTTAAATAAATACATATTTATTCATTTAAATAAGTAAATAAATAAATATCCAAATAAAGCTGCTTCGACGATGCAGCCCGAATTAATAAAATTAGAATGTGGGAATAAGGTTGGCCGACGGGCCAGCTTTCTATGCCCTTGAGAAAAATACTGGCGATCACATTTTAATTTATTTTTGGATTTCAAAAAGCAATCGCGTCGCCTCCTGCAGATTGAATCTGAGGCCTGTAGAGGGAAGAGTCGAGAGAGGTGTGATCACTAAGGTGCAGATGACCAAAGTTTTGATATGATATGACAGATAGACAAGCAAATATTAGGGCAGAAGAGAAATTTACTAGTAGTCTTCAGTCTGAATGTTCCCTTCATCCCTTTCATGGTAAAAGAGCAATAACCAGGTTGTTGGAGTAAATGTAAAAAAAAAAAAAGTTTATTTCTCAGATTTCAGGCTAGGCCTTCTACAGTCCTAAGACATTCTTCTGAACATCAGGATTCACGATATTTCTAACTGTTACCTTACATGTACCCACATCTATAGATCAATATCTATAAATTTGGGCAAACAACTACACAGGTGGAAATACAACACTTCACAAACTAGCATCCAGGTAAGAGTGGCACTTTCCTGACAAGGTATGGCTTGCTGCAGCCATCCAGGTAGGCCTGGAGCACCCAGGAAGGCTACATTTATGAGGGCCGGGTGTGGTTTTATGGGCCGGTTTTTGTTTTGTTTAAATGCAGCTGTGTTACAGTATTTCTCAAGTTTGGGTTCATGGTGTCAAGTCATTTACACCAGCTTTGCATTTAGTCAAAAATTCCAGCAGTAAAACTGAAGTACTCAAATGTCAAATCTTCCCCAAAACAGGGAACCTGTGCACCAACTGGGTTAAGCCACTGAAGGTCTGCCAAATTCTCCTTTACAGTCAACTTTACTGCAGAGTTACTTAGAAGAAGTTGGTCATCACCTCACTGGAAATAATTTGTTCAACCAGGCCTTGGGCTTATTAACACTCTATGTTTTTTTAAAATGTGTTTGTGGGAGGGGGCGCTTATTTGTTCTTGTTTGTTTTATTGTGTATTTTGTATTTTCATGTTGTATTTTCATGTTGTGAAGTGCCCTGTGATCTTTGGAAGCAGAGGAGTATACAAATTTGATTAATGATGAGCAAGATGTCAATTAAAACAAGTAGGGGCATACTCCCCAGAAAGTTTACTGGCATATATATGTACTGTATATTGTTCTGTCTGCATTGGAAGCTGAAAACAAACAACTATTACAGGTTATTATTTGTCTATTTATGCCAGGGTGGCTCATAATAATTTAGGGAGGTTAGGGCAAATGAAAATTTGACTCCACACAAGTTAAAAAGTGATGGCGGTGGAAATCTGTAAATTACTTGATTCTGTATGTTAGAGATGTACACTAGAACAACCTGGATCCACGTGGTGCTGTCACATTTGGTGGTACTGCAAAAGTGTGAGCAGGCTTTGGATTGGAGTAAAACCAGTGGGACTTACTCCCAATGGCATTTTCTAGAAGAGGGTCATAATCCTCCACAGGCTAAGAGCAGACTTTATGCATAGTCGACTTGAAGACTATGGAAGACTACTGGAACACCAGCCGCTGGTGTGTCTCGACTGGCACCATAGAGGTACATTTCCAGGGGTTAGGAAAGTTAAATCTGTGGTGTTTGATTTGCAGAGGTTCGCAAATATGAAGCTGTCCTCCCCACTTTCTGACGAAGAAGACGATTATTTCCAAAAGGCGATCTTATTAAATTCCATGAGAATTACTTCCAAGCAGAGATGTAGCTTCCAAGTCCTGGGAAGGAGATGCTTTTTCTGAAATAGTTCTATGTTCGTTCTCTCTTGTGCGCCACACATCACTGTCTCGTCCCAAAGTCGAGCCATGATTGGCATGGGGAAATCCGACGCCCACACATTTGTCAGGGAAGGATTTCACCTGCAAGTGAGTGTTGTATATGAAACAACCTTTAGCGAGAACGCAATCGGATACTGATCTTTCAGAATGCACTCCGGAGGAAGCTGGAAGGCTGCTATAGAGCTCTCATTTGCTTCCCATCCATTTATTCGTGCAGCAAATGACCCCCTGCGAAATGAGTTTCCGGATCCTAAACATATCCGGTTTAAAAGCCACATGTTCTGTTTATACATCCCACTTTAACCAACCACCTTTAGACTCCCAGCCCTATAATTACCGGTACCTACCTGGAAGACCCATTGAACTCAGTGGGATTTGACATATGTAGGATTGGAATGCAAACGTTCAGCAGAACTGCATTGTGCGAAGCGCTCTCTTGAATGAATTTACGCGGCGCCCTAAGCCTAAATACTCGGAGGACGACTCATTTCCGTTAAAAACTGAAATTCTATGCATGTTTCTTCTGATGGCGTTCAGACTAACTTCTGAACAAACATGCAAAGGGCAGGATGGGCTACAATCCTAGCAAGACTTTCTGGTAAGTCCCAATGAACTCCACGAATGGGGTCGGGCTGTTCTGTGGGAAGGGGATAAACGTTGCCAATTGTGTATTAAAATAGCACCTTGTCCTAAATCGTATTTATTCACGTGAAGAACGTTTCACCAAATTCAGGAGAGGGCTTCTTCTTTCTCTCTCTCTTAAAATAAGTTTGCAACTCTAAAGACTGCAGGGACCAAGGCTTCAAAAACTCACCTACTGATCTGGGAACAAGTCCCACTGATTTAAAGGACACTTATTTGTAGACGATGATATTTAGTGGCGCTCTCTTTGAGTAACTGTGCTTAGAACCTTTGTTAATCTGAGCTCCAGTCAGGGAGCATTGGAAGAAGATCTCAACTGGGTTCACGCAAGCGCTTGCCTGAATGCATGTAATGGAATCTTTGAGGTGGTAAGAAAGAGTTGCTGTGGTCCGAGTGGAGGCCACAGTCCGCACATGCAAGTCGTCACATGATGAACGGAATCAAAGCCAATCCTTCACTTCTAAGTAGACGTCTGAGTAAAGGTTTCCGTACGCTCTGTGGATCCATCCATTAGGCTGCCCGATTTTGCATCCTTTTGAAATCCTTTTGTTCGCGCTCCAAGTGAAATGTCTCAGAACATCAGTCTCGCGCCCTACAGATGTGGCAGAGGCAAGAGCACAGTGGCTAGCAAAAAAGAAAAAGAAACAAAAAAAACCAAACCCTCAACCAATAGGTGTTTATTCGGTAGCGAATTACCTGACATTCAGTGGACCTTACTCCCCGGTAAGTGCTCATATCCGAGCAGCCTGAGGTAGGGATGAGGACCTCCCCTCTTATTTCTGCCCTGAATTCCTTAAGTGGCAACTTGTGATGTTAGGATAATACTGACCTACCTTGCCAGGCTGGTGTGAGGATTACAAGACAGAGTATTATGTGAACTGCTTTAGAAACTCTAAAGTTCTGCTAGAGGGCTGGGGTTAAACTATTGAGTTATGCGCCACCGGCGGTTTCTGCCGTTTGGGGTCCGGAGTGTGAGTGCCTTGGACGATAGCCTGGGTGACCAGGGCCAGAATCCTCAGCTCCCTGGGTGACCTTGGGCCAGCCACTCCCACTCAGCCTAACCTGCCTCACAGGGTTGTTGTGTGGCTAAAGGGGGGGGGGGATCCATGCTCACCATCTTGAGCTCCTTGGAGGACAAGGTGGCATATGAATGTAGTAAATAATAATAAATAAGAAACGAGGTTTTGTTTGACTTCCGTTGGCCAGGTAATCTTCTCTACCTGAGTCTAGTTGGAAACCTTGGGATTCAACCGAGGTTAGTTCCCATGAACTGACCATGAACCCTACACCTGCTTCTTGGGAAGGATGCCCCGTTTATTCCAAGTGGATCGATTCCCCATCCAGTGAGCCTTCGCTGGAAGCCTTCCTCCTCCTAACCAGGCTCAGTGCTGCGTCTTTGAGATCCTGCTAAGCTATGCCCTCGAAAGGCCAACACAAAAACCCCCTTCCTATGGGGGAGCTAGCATCAAATGTCTTCCTTCCGGATGAGCCTTCTGAGCAATGGCGCTGTAGCCTGGCTAGAGGTGCGGCACAACGCGTAGCGCGCGTACTCAGAAGTATGTCCTCCGCAATTCAATAGGTCTTACTTCCAAGTAAGTATCATAAGATATTCAAAAGCCATTGAAGACCTTACTCCTGAGTAAAATATGCATAAGGTGACGCGCATCAGTTTCACTGAAAATCAATTAAATTCTTACAATACTCCGAAGTTAAACTTACCGTTTTCAACTGTTTTCAGGATCGGTGTGAAAGGGAAGAATATAGTTGGCTGCCTTTGAAGAACTGGTTCGAGATCCACCACCGTCCACCACAGGACTGGGCGAGAGTGCTTGTAGTCAGTCGAGAAAATCCACTCTGCCGACTGACTTTCATTTGGACTCGGCAAGCGAAAGGAAGCTCGTAACTCCCCTTCGCCTTCTGACCAGCTCCTGCCACAGGCAAGGCCTCTCGTGTGTATGTGTTGTCACTGTTGCGCGTGTGTTGTGCGCAGATTTCTGCATGAGCAAGATGGGGACTGTTTGGAATCCCATTTACTCATCCCTGGTCTCGCGTCGCTAAGAGTCTCCAAAGAGGAGCCCCGAAGTTTATCCAAAGACGACTTAGAGGAAGAAGACAGGCCTTCTCAGTGAATACGGCTCTGGAGGGCGGACAGAAGAGGAGGAATATAGGAGCAGCGAGCTTTCAAACAACTTCCGAATTGCCCAGCATTAGGCTAAAGCCGTCCTTCTTGCTAACTGCGTTTCAAGTAAGCTAGAACCCAAATCTTTAAAGAAAAAGAAGCTAGAATTCGAGTCCATCTAACCAATTTGTTTTAAAAGTCCCGAAACTCTTAACCCAACCAGGCGTGTTTTGGTTTCCACTAGGCACTTGAGGCTTCACGCGCTTTCTCTGATGCAGAGAAAGGTTCTAGCAAGCCACACTCAGTTCATTCTGAAAGGCAAGAGTAGTCTCGGTGGGTGATAGTCAACGTTCCTCGTACTCAAGAGTAGACCCACTGAAACCAATGATTTATGCTTTTCAAGCCGCCACCTCCCGCGTGGAGTATGATAATGTGGCTTTAATAGTAGTTGTACTTCAGGATTGCTATATTGGCTGCGATTGTGTGGAACGCGAGGCTGAATATCAGGTACAGTCAAAGATGAAGCACTTTTAAGACCGGAGATTGAATGAGATATGCGGTTAACATTATAAGTGAAATCAATGAGTCATAAAAATACTTTGGCTGAATACTGTGCTATTATGTAAATGATTCCACTATTATCATGATGCTCAGATGTCGAGAATACCCCTTTTAACAGAGGTTGCAATCCTAGTCGTGGACGGGAGTCAGCGGGGATGTCTAGGCAAGTATAACTCATGGGAGCCTGCCCGATTGCAAATGTGTAAGGTAACCGATGGGTTTTCCTATCAAGTAATGTTCACAGGATCAAATAAACAAAGCAATATTTAAAGTCAAGTAGGCAAAGCAATAATATACATACATAGAATAGGCAGCATCTATATATATAGGCCTCGACTGAGAGCCTAACAACCCAGTCACAGAATCGTAGCATTGTAGAGTTGGAAGGGACCACGTGGGTCATCTAGTTCAACCCATTACAAGGCTGGAGTATTTTTTTTGTCCAACCTCTGCCGACAAGAAAGCCCCTATTTTCAGTCCGACTTGCCCTAGGACTTCCATGGGCTGCAACTCAGGGAGTTGGCAGACTTTAGGCTTTTCTGATCTATTTTGCTTTTTACTAGAATCTCAAGATCTACCAACCAGATTCTAGTGCCTCTGAGCCCATTCTGGGCCTAGAAGTTGGTCTGCAGTATCAGAACTGAGCTGAGCTCACAGTCCTTTCGCACAACCCCAAAACAAGCCCCCAGCCCCCTTCATTTCAGCAGTTTACTTTGGACGAAGCGGGAAGTATTTTTGCTAAACAGTTGGGAGTCTGAAACCAAACTGCTTGTGAATCTAGTGCATATCAGGCAAAGATTTACCATAGATTCAGCTCTGTCTTTACTTGAGAATAAAGTGTATATTTGGGAGTAAGGTTGCAGTCCTATTCACAGTTTAGACGTGGAATGGTAAGCGTGCCAACAAGTTTTGATGATGTATGAAACATGATACTCCAGGTTCATATGTGCATTTTAAATACGCATGTTATTCATACAGGCCATCTTGGAAGGGGCCTACTCTAAGCACAGTAAGCCCACTGGCAAGCAATATCAAGAGCTAAAATTAGTTCGTTATCTTTCCCGCATCTCTTTGCATTATACTGGAAAATAACAGACAGGTATTATTGTTTAAGTTAAGGGGGGGGGAATCTCCAACAGCAATTTAATATATGGTTTGTGAGAATTTGGTCGGTCCTTACCAGAATACACATCTATAAACCATAAATAAAGCGTACAAAAACGATAAATTAATTCGATCGGAGTCGTTTACTCTCCCGGTAACATCAAAACTTCCTGTGTCAAATTACAATCTAAAGTCCATTTTTGGGTACCCCCCTCCCCCGAGTTCACAACGCTACAGTCTTTTTGATCCTCAGTTTTGAAATCTAACACCTGTTCACACACACACTTATTTCTGTGTCACTTTCACACCCAAAAATAGATATATTTATAACTCCCCGCAACAAACAAAATAAAGAAACAGACAAGGAGACTCCTAAAAGGAAACCTCCAACTCAAATAAAATTTAAATCGGTGTCTGAAGAAAAGTGACGGTGGTCAAGAGCCCGCGGAACTGGATGTTTTCCACGCCCCACGGTTGTTGGAGATCAATCCTGTTTTCCCGACGCCGGCGAGAAAAGAGTAGAAGAAAAAGGAGCTTTAAATTACACAACAGCAAACGTCGATTAAATATTACGGGAGCCTTTTCTAAACTAGGAGCGGGGCGCGAAGTCCAGGATTCTTTGCCAAAAGTGGTGCGCGGGAGAGGTGGGGTCAGTGCGCTCCTCGTAGAAAGTTGTCTTTTTCATTTAAAAAATAGGGCTAGAGAATCTTTAGTTGATACAAAGGCGCCGGAGCTCCCAGGTAGTGGGTGGAGGCCACCGGATTGTTTGAGTCCGATGGGCTTTGGATACGGATTGGGATCGGGAGGCGACGCCGTGGAATAAACTGACCTGGCTTTGGGCACCGTTTGGATTCTTTCCAAAGTCTACATCATATCTCAAATCTCCTCCTGCCCAGAGAAGTCTCGGGTTTGTCCTGGGGAGAGAAAGAGGGCATTGGCCCTTAGGGGGTGGGCAGAGCCGAAGGGTGGGGTGCCCTTTAGGAAGAGTTCATGATGGGCCTGGAGTAGACCCCTTGGTAATAGGAGGCATCTCCGGCCAAGGGCGAGGTCTCCAGGGCGCTTTTGTTCGTGACGGAGCCCATGGCCAGGCTGCCGGGCACCGGCGAGCCGTAGCTGCTGTAGTGCATCACCTGCTCGTAGGCTTTGAGGTCCATTTTGTGGTGCGGGTGGTGCGGGTGGTGCGGGTGGGGGTGGTGCTGGTGCGGATGGTGCGGATGGTGGGGGTGCTGCTGCTGCTGCTGCTCTGTGGAGGACATCAGGTTGGTGATGGAGAAGGGGTGGTTGAAGGCGTAATGGTGCTCCGCCTTGAGGTGCGCCTCGTGGGAGAGCCCCGCGTGGGCGTGATGCTGAGCCAGCAGGTGCTGCTGCTGCGCCGGCGACGGGGCGGGCTCCGGGTGGCCCTTCAGGTCGGCTAGGGCGCGCTTGTGCTCGTGGCAAGGGGAGGCGCTGGAGTGCGGCGATTCCGGAGCCCCGTTGGGCAGGTCGCGTTCCTGCGGCGCCTGCGAGGCCGCCTTCTTACCTTGCGACGGGGCTCCCGCGGACGAAGCAGGGGAGGCGCCCTGATTCTGCTGCTGCTGCTGTTTGGAGCCCGGCGGCTTGTCGCACTTGAAGCGCTTCTGGCGCCGCAGGTAGCAGCCGTTCTCGAACATGTTGCCCGAGTCCGGGTGCAGAGTCCAGAAGGAGCCTTTGCCCGGCTTGTCCGGCGAGCGCGGCACCTTGAGGAAGCAGTCGTTGAAGGAGAGCGAGTGGCGTATGGAGTTCTGCCAGCGCTGCTGGTTCTGCCGGTAGAAAGGGAACAGGTCCATGATCCACTGGTAGATCTCGCTCAGCGTCAGCATCTTGTTGGGCGACTGCTGGATGGCCATGGTGATGAGGGAGATGTACGAGTAAGGCGGCTTGGCGTGCGTGTAGCTCCGGCGATAGCTCTTGGCGTCGCGGGAGCGGCCCAGGCCCGCCGCTTGCCCGTACGCGCCGCTGCCGCCGGCCCCGACGGGACTCAGCGCCGAGTAAGCGCCCAGCGCGCCCCCCATCGAGCCGGCCTGCGCGCCCAGCGGGCTCAGGCTGGGGCTCAGGTGCGCCGCCATGCTGGCCATGGCCCCCGCGCCCGGAGAGAGGTTCATGCCCGCCGGGCCGGCCGCGTAAGACATGCCCATGGAGCCGCCGGACGCCACCGTCGTCATGTTGCCCGCCGTGCCCATGGCTGGCATGCTCATGTAGCTGTTCATGCCCAGCCCCGCGTTCATGGTGGAGTAACCCTGCAAAGGCGACAAGAGCGGGGAGCCCAGCGGTTAGTGGAGGTGGCCCACGGGTCGTCCCACCCGAGACCCCCAACTCCCTGGCCACGGGATCGTGGGCAACCCAGCCCTCAGCCCCAACCACCGCGCATTTCGAGGGAGCTTTCTTTGGTGTAACGGTCTCCTTCGGAGTCTGTGTGATACAATGCTGGAAGGTGAAAGTACCCAGCGCCCCAGTGAACGTGGTCCAGGCACTCTTGGGCCCCTTGAATTTAAATGGAAGGCTACAGCAGGTGCTTGAATCTGGGGGGCAGTTAAATTGAAACCGGTCAGATTTACATCCGAGTAAACACGGCCCGGAAGCTGTACGCCGGCTCCCTGGCCAATAAAGCGAGATGAGCGCCGCAACCCCAGAGTCGGTAACGACTGGACCTAGTAGTCAGGGGTCCCTTTATCTTTACCTTAAACACGGGAGAGGATCGGCTTGTAAATCTCTCCAAATACAATTTTAAAAGGGGCAGGGGGGGCGCCTAACTTAGACTCGACCGTGTCTATGGTTAGGAGAGGGGTTCAAGCATTGCAAACTTGGATCCCAAATGCGCTAAGCTGATACAGGTCCCAGTGAAATCGATGACATACAAAACAACAACAACAACAACAACAACAACACCTGTTAGGATCTGGACCTTAATGCCACAGGAGAAAGTCGACCAGTCTGGTCATAACAGTATTCCTGCACCCTCATTTTAAAAATTCCCGTTGGCTTTAATGAGCCTTTGCCCAAGTAACGTGTTTCTTATTGCGATGGAAGAAAAGGAGGACCCAGGTGGGTGTTTAAAATATTTCCTTGTTCGTTGACTGGGGAATTGTTCCTGTTAAAACCCAAATGCTAATGCAAATCTACCAGAAAGCAAGCCCGCTCTCTACCGCACACACTTTCCCGGTCTAACCGTGCAATCATATGCTTGCTTACTCAGAAGTAAACCCCACTGTGTTTCGCGGGACTCACCCCCAGCTAAGCGCGCAGAGGATTAGAGCCTCAGACCCCCATATCTGACTCCCCCGAAGCCTTTCGGTTTCCAATCCTTAGCGATTCTCTTGGGTTTCAATGCAATTTACTTCCCAAGTCACTTGTGTTATAGTTTCTTAACCCAACAGAAGCCGGATCCATCAAAACGACTGGATAGAATTTGTGTTTCGTTTCGGTAGGATTCGATTTCAACCCGAATTTCTCATACACTGACTAGGGAATATCCGTCGTGATCTTCCGACAACTTTGTTTCTTTACTGCGGGGGAGGATTGCATCGAAATCACTTGGGGGTCAGGACCTCAGCCCTAGGCAGAATTAAACGCCATGGAAATCGGCGTGGGGGCTCTGTTCAAAATCCAAGGGTAAAAATGGGGCTGACGGCTCCAGGAGGGAACCTGAAATGTGATTTGACTCAAGGAGGGAAAAGATCTCGGTTGTCAAGACCCGGCTGTTTTCTGGAGCAAAGGAAGGAGGCACGCAACCTGGAGAGCGGCAGGAGCTTGTGCGTAAAGCTTTGCTCCGCTCATTCAAGAAAGAATTCTTGTCCGGCTTTGGGTTTCATTTGCCCCCAGACTCCGAGCCCTCCCAGGGCGAGATTTCGAGCAATAAATGCGCCCCCTCTTCCCTTGGTTCCTTATAGCTCCCCCCTCAAACGCCCTTCCTCTCCCCCCCCCAACCTCTCTCTGCCAAACACAACTTTGTTAGGATAGCGCGGCTAGGCATGGCAAAGGATTTGGAGGCTTCGCAAGTCAATATTTGATCACAAAGTTAATATTATCTCAAGGCTAACACAGTGTTGTATAAAAAGAGGGCGAGAGGGAGAGAGAGAGAGTCCTGTTTTTTAGCGGAAGGAGGAGGCTTGGGGATTGGGTGGGGGACCCACACACAAACAGAGAGAGCGAGAGAGACACCCACCCACGCAAACAGACAGAAGTTGCCATTTACCTCCGGCTCGCCGTAGTAGTTGCTCCACTCCGTGTGCTCGTGTCCTTCCATTTTCACGACTCCTAGCATACTGGAAGCGGAGTGCATGGCAGTTTAAAATTTAACAGCCACAACAAGCGACGACAGAGGGAGAGAGAGCAATCCAAAAAAAAGGGGGGGGGGAGAAAAGGAAAACACCCTCCTCGGTAGCCCTCCCTCCTTCTCCTTGCCTCGTTCCCTCTCTCCCTCTCCCTCCCTCCCTTCTCCCTCCCTCTTTCCTTCCTTCCTTCCCTCCCTCCCTCCTTCTTCCCCCTCCCTCTATGTGTGTGTTGGGGGAGGGGGAGGGTGGGCTCGCTTTGCGTGGGGTTTCTCCCTGCCCGCTATTGCTGCTGCCGCTGCCGCTGCTACTACTACTGCTTGGGTGGGTTTCGCTGAGAAGAGTTGCCCGGAGGCGAAGGCAAGGAGGAGGAGGAGGAGGAGGAGGAGGAGGAGGAGGAGGGTGGAAGGAGGAGGAGGAAACGAAGTGGTGCAGTGACGTGGGTGCCGGAGTGATATAGCAGCCAGAGGCCAAGCTCGCCTCCAATCCCCAGGTCGTAGGCAGGTGATTTGAATAATCAGCTCCCACCTAGGGCTCTCCTCGCCAAGACGCCGGCTGCTGCCCTTGAGCACCCGTGGGCGCAACCTGGGGGGGAGGCTTTTTGCCCCCTGTTCTGGGACTAAAATCACCTTCTTATGCTATACCCTGGTCATGAATCTGGAAGGACTCCCTCCCGGTTTCCTACTGACTTGGATAGTTTCAATGCTCTAGTTCACCCATCCGCACGCCTCCCTCCAGGCCGTGCTGCTGAAGAACATTTCTACGGTTGCTTTCAGGTTTTGCGGTGGATTGCTCAGAGGGGGCTGACCCTATATATCTAGGGATTTTATGTTACGATCGTCATCAACAATCACAACAAACATCTTCCTCCAAGGAACTTGCGAGGTTGAATAGAAATGCTTTAAATGTATGTATGCATACAATATAGTCAAACCAGGCACATAGTTCGTTGATTACTATGGGGATTTAGACGTTTGCTTAAGGTTGCGCAGTCCTATGCACACTTAGTAGGTGGTCCTATTGGAATGTATAGAATGTATAGGATTGAAATCAATAGGACTGAAAAGTCCATGCCTTAGACTGCATCGCACCATAGGCAGAGAAAAGAAATAAAGTTGATGCTTTAACCATGGTCTGTTTCTTCAGAAGGTAACTAAGGAAAACTCCGGCAGCCACAGTCCATACTTTCGACTTCGGTTGAAATGCTTGGATTTCAAAACTTCCAGAGGAACTAGGCTGATAGCAATCACATTGGCCTAGCCATAATAATTCCCATCCACTTCCCAAACTATTCGCTTGGCATAAAGGGCGGACGGGGGTCGTAAGGAAGGCATTTCATTTCCCCAGTTCTAACTCTGCTAAAGATTTCAATAGAAGATTGATTGGTTCGGTGACAGCTAAAATGGAACCTCTGCGCTCAGGAGCAGTATATCTTTGAGTACCTACTGCTCTGGACAACCAACAGGAAATGGCGTCAGAAACAGAACGCGGCCCTTTGGTGACGCAGCAAAGCAGTTCTCCCGCGGCCCCCTTGCGCTCCTGGCCGTCCGGAAGGGCCTCGCGCCCTGGGCATCCGCCGCCGTCCCCGACCTGCCTTCAGAGCAGGCGGCCAGCAGGAGCTCGCCAGGTGTACCCGGCACCCTAAGGGTGACCCATCGCCAACATTTCGTAACTAAAACAAACCGCCTCGAAGTCACCCAGCTGGGCTGGTGCGAAATGTTCCAGGCGAACCGCTGAAGAAAGACTGGCAGGGACTCGGTCGGCCAACCGCACTGAGGCGCCTCGGCAGCGAGCGCAAGCGAAGGAGCGGGCGCGCACGAAGAAAGGAACGGGCAGGCGACCCCAGAGCAAAGGGCTTCAGCGGATTGAGGGAACCAGCTTTGAGCCGGCAGGTCGGCCTCACGGAGACCTTAGCCCGGCGACGTTCAAGGGGCCCGAGGCTCCAGGATCGCCACAGTCAACTCTGTTGGCTTCTAGGAACGCAGGAAGCGTCTAGAGAGCGTGACTCCCCCGGCAATTTCTGTTGAAATTGTCGGAACGGGAATGCGCTTCGGAGCTGCGCCATCGTCCCGCACGTTTCAGCGGGAGACTTGGGCGTCTCTCTGCGTGCAAAGGCTCCGTGGGACTTGAAAGTGCTTAGCGTGGAGTTGCACCCTGTGGTGGGCCGGCAGGCAGTGCCCTCTCTTCCGCCAGAAGCAGCTGAAATGCCCTCTTGGTTCCATCCCTTTCAAATCCGAGGCCTTCAAAGTACCTCGTTCTGGCTGGATCCCGCACTAAAGCATGTAAGCTCTCAAGGAGAGTTGGGGAAACGGATGACCTCCAGGTGTCGCTGGACTCCAGTTCCCACCATCCCTGACCATTTGCCGGGCGGACAGGTGCTGATGGGAGATGGAGTTCAGTGGCACCTGCAGCGCCACAAGGCCCCTCCTTTGGTCTAAGATGAAGGCCTGCTGTTCAGGCAGGTCTGGTAGTCTATTCCAGAATTATGATCAAGAGCTGCTGTCGCCGAGCAGGAAATGTATTGCTCAAAGGCGCTTTTTTCTTATTCCTAGGGAAGTACTACCAGAATCAAGGCTGCGCATGGAAAAGATGCTGGAGCTTTCTCGGATGAAAGGAGCAAGCGATCCAGGGTTTGCTTTAATGGGGAAATGTCTGCTCTCTTGTTTAAAAGATGGCATTCGTGTGAGCAAGGATGCCACTGGAAAGCGAACTCTCCTCGAATGTGGCATTAGCGCTTTCTTCCCTTCAAAGCGCTTCGCAGGCGCGTGATCTCAGTCAGAAGTCACCCTATTATAGCAATGCTTTCCCGGCGGTTTTAGAGGGCAGGAGGCTGGGTCTTGGCGCGGACCTTTCCCGAGCGCCACCAATCGAGAACTTCCCGGCTCGCTCCTTGATCTCCCGTGCATTCAGGTGGACTTAACTTCCAAAATCAACCTACAGTATTTGGGTTCGTGGGCGAGGAAGGGGCCACTTCGGACGGGGGAGGGATTCAGAAACTCACCAAGCCCTCATCAAAGGGAACGAGCTTTGTTCAAAAACAAAGCAACAATAAGTATTTGTTGCCTTTCTGTTACTTTTTTTAAAAAATATATATATCACAGCAAAGAATAGACTAAAGAATTGACTAAAACGTAGGGAGGACGGGACGGCAGGTAAGTCCCGCCCTGCCTAACCGGTCACAAGACTTGGCGCACGTACACCATTTGAATGGCAGTGCCCATCAACTTGGGGGAGGACGGCCACCTCAAATATTTAGGGGGGGGGGCTGAAGGGACTTCGGCCCCTAGGAATTGGCTCCTACGTATAGACTCCACTGTGCCGTTCTCTTGCGCGAACCCTAATGATGCGTCAAAGAGGCGCATCTCTGATCACTTTAAGTGCGGTTTGAAAAGAACAACTACACGTGCGCCGACGGTTATCAACCACCTATTAGGGGATCTTTCCTTTCCTTTAATAATAGGGATCAGCATGTGTAGGACATGTGAGCAGCTCCGAGATTTTGATGCTCCTGAAGTGGAATAATTATAAATTGTCTGAAACACTCTGAAAAGCGGATCTCCCCACCACCACCACCGCGCGCGAAGCAGAGCCACTGGATTGGCTGGCTTGTTGGCAGGGCAATTCAGCGGATGCATCAATGGGCAGGTGCTGCTTCTGCACCTGGAGCACCTGGAGCTGCAAGGAAAAGGGTGATTCTTCAGAGAGGAATCCCATTTGTCTCCTTCCATTGTTCAGACACGGCAGGGGAAAGGCGGGCAGGCAAGCAAGCAGCGCTCACTACAATTTGCCAGGTGTCGTCCACTGAAAAGAAGGGAGCCCTGTCTTTTTTCCCTTACCTGAAAAGCCAGGTCTGTGCCAGCTAGGAAAGGAACGGGGTCCCCCTCTGGTTTTTCTGAAAGGGCCCCTCCACCTCATCACTCCCTTGCACATCAATGAGCACCCGAGGAACCTATAGCTTGTAGCATGGCCCTGCCAAAGCAAGCCTCTGAAACTCAGGGGTCATCTCCACATTTATTTATTTATTTATTTATTTATTAAAATTGATGCACCCCTTGATTTCTTTTTTAAAAAAACACTCTTCAAAAATTGCCTCAGTTTTCTGAGCAGCTGGGTAGGTGCCAATCCCATAAACATTTTTTTTGTTTTTTAGGCCAAGAAGTGTTTCCTTTTGTCTGGCCTAAACGGAACCCCAATTCGCTTCCCTGGTGACCCAGAGCTCTCCTCTCCCAAATAGCCACTGTTGCCTTCATGTCCATACCACCCATGTGGCTTCCTGCTGGTTTTTATTTATAAAGCCATAAGTTGTCTAGTACAGGTGTGGGCAGAGTTCAAGTTTGTTGGAACTACGGTCCCCCCCCCCGAACCCTAGGATCTACCAACCAGAGCCAAGTGTAAAAGAACAGGTGCCTCTGGACACATTCTGAACCTGAACCTGATCAGTCTTTCCCAACAGAAATCAACTCCTGGTTAGCTTTCCTCATTTCAGCAGCCTAATTTAGATGGGAGAAGCTATTCAAAAAATTAGTAGCAAGAAACTATTGCAGATCTAGTGCCAATCACTCAGAGATCTACCAGTGGACCCAGATCTACCTCCTGCCCAACCCTGGTCCAGAACCATGAGGGTACCTGGGGGATCCTTACTCTCTTATGAACCAACCCAGGAGCTAAATTCTTCAATGACAGTCTTCTCCAGATGCCACCGCCTGTCTGGCCACCAGGGACATGGCCTATTCTGGTTGTGAAAGTCCAGTGGCTCACAGCGACCCACTTGAGAACTTTATTGTTATATTTTAGGTGCCACGTAAAGGCTCTCTTGTTTCTTTGGGTGACCTATTTGGTTGCTGGGTTTTACCGCATCAGATGGTTGCATTTTGCCTCTTTGTGACCTGTTGCTTTTATGGTTTCTTCTGTACTATAGTGTGGTTGCAGTTATGCAATGTGTACTTTTGTGACATGGATTTTCTGAAAGTGCTATTTACAGCAGGGTACAAGTGTTTTCAAACAAATAAACCTGTATCAGCTTCAATGAAAATTTGGAACATTTGTAGCTGAGGCTGGTCTGGGAATCCAATTCCTTTTGTAGATCCAGTGAAGGTTGGATCCATTTGTATTCATGACACCACTCATATCCTTTTCTTTAAATGCATGTGGAAGTTTAAGAAGAAAAGAAAAGAAAACGCCCTGAATTTTCTCAATCGAGAAAATGGATCTCTGGCAGGTGTGAGAAACAAAGCAATTGCAGCAGGAAATTTCAAGCCAAGCCCCCTTTTTTGGTTGAGGAAGTGCAATCTTTCAGAGTCCCCAGGGATCCTCAGAGGTGTTAATCTCTGTTTTCTTTCCAGCAGCTCCATATAGTGAATCTGAGATCCACATCTACAGTGTAGTGTGACTGTTCCAGGGAGTCTCTTTTGCAAAGTGTAAGAATCCATAATGGCTTTCCTGTAAATGGTACCTAGGGACTGATTAATCCTGTTATAGCTTTACATTGCTGTTAGGTCCCAATAAACACTTGTGGGGGGAGGTTTAGCTCTCTCTTTTAAAAAGCTAGAACATCACAGAGTGGGTGGAAATTACATGCTGATAGGCAAACCGTGAGCTTGTCCTGAACTTTGGAAGAAGAAAGGAAAAGGAAACTATGGGGATTAATATACAGAAACCACTGATTACACTGGATTGTGGAGTAGCTTCGATGAGCAAATTGAGGTTGTATCTATTAGCATTCATCTCCTAATGTCTTGCCAGGAAGCTTTCTTTTCCCCTAAAGAAAGGCTACCAAAGGCTAGTGGAGTCCATGAATATCTTTACAAATGCTTCAGAGCTCTTGGGCCTGACCACAACAGAGTCTCAGCTGCTTTAACATCAAGCTCAGTAAACAGATTATTAAAAGTTTGAGATTTAAGAAAAGTTTTTTTAAAATGATGCTTTTAATTTTAATATTCTTTATTTAAAAGAAAGAGAAAAGGCAGATAAAATTCTAGCATGATATTAAAATAGCATACAAGGAGAAATGTAACCTCAATAGAATTGCCTTGTACCTTCTCTCTGATACCTCCAAAGGTTTGCTCCAAAACACTGCTGTTGAGCAGTTCCAGTAATTTATATCTGAGAATTTAAGGGGTCATTCCTGAGCTGACACGACCCCTTCAAAATACAGGGACATGTGTGGTGTTTTTAAATCCCTATAGTTTAAACCAACAAGGGGCCGGGCTGCCTTTGCGTTGTCATCACGGACCCCTCGGCTCCCCAAACATTTGCCTGATCAAACTGATCAGCTCACACATATCAGTGTTGGCCCACTCAGCATAGAGTTCACCATTATAACTCCATATTTGTTTCTTGTAACTCGGAAACATTTCTCATTTTCTGACTGGTGGAACAGAAGGGGAGTGTGACCGGTTTGCCTCAGGGGTGTCGAAGGGGGTGCTGCAACTATGATGTAGAATGCAAGGTGAGAGGCAGGGTGTGTACACGCCGAATTTTGGCATTGCACAGGTTGCCACTGACATTTGAGACCCCAAGGTCTGCCACTGCATCCAATGAAGCTGAATGTTGGAAGATTTAGGACATATAAAAGAAAGTACCTTTTCACACAATGCATTGTTAGACTATGGACTTTGTTTCCAAGGGAAGCAGTGATGGCTTCAAAATGGGATTCAACAAATTCATGGAGGTAAAGGCTATCAAGGACTACTAGCCAAGATGCTTCTGAATACCAGCTGCTAGAAGCCACAGGAGGGAAGAGTGTTCTTGTGCTCAGGTCCTGCTCCTGGGCATCCCACAGGCATCTGATTGGCCATTGTGAGAACAGGATGCTGGGCTAGATGGGCACGGGCCTGATCCAGCCGGGCTCTTCCTCTGTACTTATGCACAAATGGTCAGCTGCTACCATAGTTTTTTGTCCTGGATGTTCAGTACAGAGGAACACAGGAAATTGCTTCATACAGAATCAGACACAGTGTTGCATCTATCTCAGTATTGTCTACGCTGACTGGCAGCAACCCTTTCAGACAGTGAGTATCCCCCAGCCCTACCTGGAGATGCTGGGGATTGAAGACGGGACCTTCTGCACGCAAGGCAGACGCTCTTCCCCTGTGCCCTGGCCCTTCCCTGAAAATAATGTCATAATGTAGTGAATGCATGGTCAAACAACTTACATTGTTACATTGGCCTACACCTTCACTGCATGTTGAGATGTTCTGTTCTGTCCTGAATCTGTATTCAGACCATTTCCATTGCATTTAGGATGTTCCCTCTATCTTCACCCACATTGTAGTGAACCCAGCTCCTCAAGGTTCTGCCCTGAATGGCTGGTTTAGATGCCAGAAGTGGCCAATAGCATTGGGAAGCCACTGATGGCGTTGGTTGCAGGAGCAGCAGCTGGGGCAACAGCAGCAGTTCCATGAAAATAATTGTAAACAAATATCTGTCATTAATGTAAAACAGTCTCTTGCTCCTCATCCTACCTGTGGGACAATAACTAAAATCTGAATGCAAGATTTGTGTTTTATGGGCAGGCAGTGTTTGCATCATGCTTAGGAGGCCAATTTTTCATGGAGCGTAATTTTTTGTTTTCTAAGACACAAACCCAGTTAAGAAGAAGACAATTAGAAAATACCCATTTCTACACTGAGAGAAAGAAATTTGGTGACCGTCTAATTAAGAGACAGATTTCTGATAATAGAAATCATATGGTAATTGTCACAATAATACAATAATTATTTCTTAATTATTTGAAGAACTCTACAGCTCAGTCTTTTTTCTTAAAAAAAGCAAATTTCACGTTTAATGGGTCATCTTATTTTCGGAACATATTTTCGGAAGTTGCAACCATTATGATCAAACCATCATTTTTGCAATTTGCACAGACTGGACACAACAGAACAAAATTTATTCTTGTCTAAGTACCACTGAAAGCAATGGAACTGGACTTAATTGTGATTAGTCAAGACGACTGATTTTATTATTTTTTTAAAAAAATAATGTTTATTAACCGACCAATCAAATCAAATCAAATCGCATAAATTTCGAATTACAAAGCCGAATTTTAAATTTTTGTTGGGTGGACCCATATTTCAAGTTCCGAAGGGGGATTCCGATCATCTTCTTGCTGCTGCGTTAATATCCACAAATCTGTCCAAATAATGTTCATAATTCTATCCAGTCTTATCTTGCTGTTTCCACATCTCATCTTGTTCGTATATTTTTCTTTTTTTCTTTATGATCTCTTCTGATAATCTCCTTAAGTAGGTAAACACCAATTATAATCCTGTGTGAATTTTTCTGTTCGTCCAATCATCATATCAAGATGGTTTCCATATATCATCACTTTCATAAATAACAGCACTCTTTCCATCATTAATCTCGCAGATCTGTCGCTCTTTAGTCCCTCTGAGGAGGCTCACCCACAATATGAAAACAGATCTGTTCCTCCTCCCAGACATAAGTCTTTCGACAGAACTTGCCAAAATGGCGACGCTATTTTTTGCTGCATCATTCCAAAGCTCTTATGCTTTCCACGATCTTCTTGAAACATGCTTTGGTTAAAAAAGTATCTCCACACAGTCTTAAATCCACAGCTTAAGTCATTTAAATGGCATTTCTGACTTGTGACTTTTTTGGGGGGGGATTCTTGGTTAATCACATAGAGAAAAGAAAGGAAAGTTTTTCCCCCTCCCCCATCCAGTCCCGTTGCCGGACATACCGAGCCTTGGTGTGTCTTCTCATGATTTATTCTTGTTCCTCCGACCCGTCTTGTTTCTCAGAGATCTCTTCGGTTAGCAGTCTTTACTCCCCCTTCTTCCTTGAAATATGTGCATTAGCTTCCTCCTAATTGTTTCTTTTGAAGTTGCTGCAGCTAGAGGCGCGAATCAGATACAGCGTCCAGGAGCGCCGAGATCCGCACAAGGGCTTTCTGCCTAGTGCCCCCACCCCCACAAATTCGGGGGTGGTATAGGGCACAGCAGGCAAGGGCAGTCCCCCCCCACACGCTTGGGGGGGGGCAGGAAGGCTGATTACTCCCATCACAGCCTCTTAATTACCTCGTGTGGGTCGGAGAGATGTTATTGTCAGCCATCTTCCGATGCACCCCTAGTGGCCCCCCAAGACGACTGATTTTAATGGGGCTTAGGTCAAGTTTTAATTTCATAGTTTTGGGAGCAGTATGAATGTTACATCTCCATGGCTTCTTACTGATACAGTACCCTTGAGTGAGCCAAAAGGGTAGACTTACCATTTCTAGGGGGTGGCTTCATGGTTTCAAGAGTGTAATATCCTTCTCAGGATTTCCAAGGGAAATTCAGCAAAACCTAAAGGGGTGAGTTATTTTACACAAACAAGGCCCATTACCAGCCTTCACACTTATTCCTTAAATTTACACACCTGCTTTCTACATTACATTCTTCCAGTCTCTGAATTTTTTCCTTTTTCCTTTCTACAGGAAAGATTGCCTGAGAGGGGGACACTAACATAATCAATTCAATTTGTTGTATATAGACAAAGGCTGTGAACAACAGAGGGCAAATATTAAGACATTCATCTAAATCACACAACATATCTTTAAAATTACACAGCATAAAATTTTGAAATCACAATTCATTAACATAGCTGGAGCAAAGCTTCTTAGCTGCCAGAGCAAATTTGGCCACCAGATGTGAAATTCGCAGGTATTTATCAGCTAAGAGTTCAGCCATCACTTGGGGGGGGGGGTTATCTGAGACTGAGTAGAGAATAGAAGATAAAAAAATTATCTGGGTGCCATATAGAGATAAGGACGTGAAGACAAGTGTAATAAATATATTTGAGGCCCCACAGAAAAGGAAATTATAACCCTGTTGTGAGGCTACCACCCTAAAATCTGCCAGACCTGCCCCGTTCTTCTCACTAGCACCCCAGGCTCTGTTCCATGGTGGGCTGGTGGTGCTGTCACTCATCCCTCCTGCGAAATGTTAGCACTGGGATTTCATTTTTCAATATTTTATTTCTTATGAGAAAATATTGGCAAGCTTTATTCATATTCATATTATTCATCAATCATTGATTAATACATGTTCTACTTATAGATGAACAAATCTTCCAAAACAGGAGCAATCCATAAATGATTATGAACATTGCTTCAGGAAGGGAGTGCCAGAATATCTGATGCTGAAGTGGCTGCCAAACTCCATTCTATGCTCACCTTGGCACACGGGGCTCTCTCTCCTGCAGTTCTTCCATGGACTGTCGGTGGCAGGCACCCAATGGTTCTACTCAGTGCTTTTTTCCCTGGGGGCATGCAGGGGTATGCATACCCCTAAACATTTTGTGAATCTTTGTACTTTTGTCCATTTACTGTATTCCCCCCCCCCCCGATTTGAACTATAAAATGGTGATTTTCTTGAGTCAAAATGTGAGTACCCCTAAACATTTTTTTAAGAAAAAAAGAGCACTGGTTCTGTTCCTTCTTCCAAGGCCATTTATAGAGAGTAGCAATAGAGGGATTTTAGCAATGGGAAGTGACATGCAGGATATCCCTCCTCGGCTGCTTAACATTTGCCTGAAGCTACTGGATGACGACATCATCAGGGGTTTTGGAATGAGGTGCCATAAATACGCTGATGAAACCCTGCTCTTTCTCTCTACTGCATCTGCATGTGGAGTGGTGATTCAGGCACTGGAGCATTGCCTAAGGCTGTAAGGGGCTGGATGTTGGATCCAGACACAATGGAGGTACTGCTGTGTATTGTTGGTTCCCAGGTGCAAGGAATGGGAAGATAACCTGGTCTGAATGGGTTGCCCTCCACTTGAAAGAGCAGGTATATAGCTTGGCTTCAGGACCTATCTTTGTTGCTTCAAATCCAGGTATCTCCAGTTGTGAGGCATGCCTATATGCAGCAACAGCTGGTTCACCTGCATAAATAAATTCTGGCCACAGTTACTCATGCTCTGGTCATATTGGAATATTGGAATGTGCTTTTCACAGAGCAACCCTTTGAGACAGTCCAGATGTTGCACCTGTTGCAGTGTGCAGCACCCTAAACACTGGTGTGCACTGTTGACCAGACAGCACTGGTTCTAAAAGATCTGCATGAGTTTGCCAATTTGCTTTCAAGCACAATTTAATTTGCTTAGGGTTGACACAAAGAGCTTTCAGTGTCTTGTTTCCAAATACCTGAAAGAGTGCCTTCTACCATATCAACCAGGTTTTATGATTGGCAGGGGAACCGTACTTGTGAGCCCACCCCCAAGTTAAGCATGGGGTGGGGTGATGGTGTTTGAGAAGGCCTTGATGGTGGTGCCCCCCAGATTGTGAAATGCCTTTCCCTCTAAGGTGCATTATACAAGGTGCACCAACATTATATACTTCTCAATGGTAGGGAAAGATCCATCTCTTTGCCCAGGCCTTTGGGGATGGGTGAAGCAGTCTGGGCATATATTTTGAAGACAACCACCTCCTTCTGCAGAATGTTGCTTTAGTTGTTTTACTACTATTATGCATGTTTAATGATGTTATGCAGTTTAGATCAATGCTGTATTGTTTTATTTAAGTATGTACTCAGACCTGGAATCATTTAGTGAAGGGTAGGTTATAAATGTTGTGATTTAATTCAGTTTAGTTAAATACAGGTAAGGCAGGGGAAGCTGGGGTCACTAGGAAGAAGAATAAATTGTGCTGAATCGTCTTTCCAAGTTACATCTGCAGAAACCAATAGAATGGTAGCTTTCAATATTAGTAGGCCATTGCAGCAATTTTTACACACACACACACACACACACACACACACACAAACACTGAAGAGGAATCTATAGTTCACAAGCCAGCACTGTTTGGCTTCATGGCCAAGTCTGACATGACATAAGAAATCCCAGTCTCCCCGGATCTTTCCCTATCCATCAAATCACCTGTGGGATCAGAGCTGTAACAGCAGGGAGGGAGGAATTTTGAGTCTTTCCCTCACATTGTGCCTTCATTTGAAACCACATACAGTACACAATCTGAAGCTGTACCCATCATGGAAGAGCAGCTGATAGCAGCTTTGGAGGGGAGTTGAAATCTGAAAAGTAACATGGGGGAGGGTTAAATAAATATCTCCCCAAGCATTCCATCCTTTCCCAAAGTGCC